CTCTGGAAAGCAGTGTGGAGGTTCCTCAGAAAATTAAAAATAGACCTACCCTATGACCCAGCAATAGCACTGCTAGGAATTTATCCAAGGGACACAGGAGTGCTGATGCATAGGGGCACTTGTACCCCAATGTTCATAGCAGCACTCTCAACAATAGCCAAATTATGGAAAGAGCCTAAATGTCCATCAACTGATGAATGGATAAAGAAATTGTGGTTTATATACACAATGGAATACTACGTGGCAATGAGAAAAAATGAAATATGGCCTTTTGTAGCAACGTGGATGGAACTGGAGAGTGTGATGCTAAGTGAAATAAGCCATACAGAGAAAGACAGATACCATATGGTTTCACTCTTATGTGGATCCTGAGAAACTTAACAGGAACCCATGGGGGAGGGGAAGGAAAAAAAAAAAAAAAAGAGGTTAGAGTGGGAGAGAGCCAAAGCATAAGAGACTGTTGAGAACTGAGAACAAACTAAGGGTTGATGGGGGGTGGGAGGGAGGAGAGGGTGGGTGATGGGTATTGAGGAGGGCACCTTTTGGGATGAGCACTGGGTGTTGTATGGAAACCAATTTGACAATACATTTCATATATAAATAAAAAAAAAAAATAAAGAAAGGTAGACTGCCACATGCAGCACCTCATTTGGGTGTGTCCAGAGCCTTGGAAGTTTGACTACCCTACATTCTCCTACCAATGGACCCTGAGAGCTTGTTTGGTTCTAGCAGGAGAGCACAGCTACTCATATACCCTTGACCCAAGAATGGTCCTCTGTCAGGGAAGGTCATCCTCTTCGATGGAGGATGCAGCTTCAAGGGGGACGCACATAGAGTGGTGAGGAAGGAAGGGGACACCTGCTTAAGCCAGCCTGATCAGCTGAATCAACGCTGGTGATCAACGGGGTGATAGATGTCACATCCAGATGGCCTTCACTTCCTCCTTGGTCTTATTTTAAAACTTTGACTTCTTGGGGCGCCTGGGTGGTGCAGTCGGTTAAGCGTCTGACTTCAGCCAGGTCACGATCTCACGGTCCGTGAGTTCGAGCCCCGCGTCAGGCTCTGGGCTGATGGCTCAGAGCCTGGAGCCTGTTTCCGATTCTGTCTCCCTCTCTCTCTGCCCCTCCCCTGTTCATGCTCTGTCTCTCTCTGTCCCAAAAATAAATAAACGTTGAAAAAAAAATTAAAACTTTGACTTCTTTAAATATATTTGTGCAGGCAGAATAATTCTTCCCAAAGGTGTCTATGTCCTAAACCCTGGCACCTAGAATATGTTAGATTACATAACAAAAGGGAATTAAGGTTGGGTGTGTTTGTGGAAGTTCTATTTATGTTTTGTTTTTTTTTTAAATTCTTTTATGTTGACCTATGTCTCTATCGTTCTGCCATTTCCACAGTTTTGATTACTATAGAATTGGTGTCAATTCTTCTTTAAACATTTGGTAGAATTCTCTAGTTAAGCTATCTGGGCCTGGAGAGTTCTATTTTGGGAGTTTTTATTTATTTTTTAAAGTTTATTTATTTATTTATTTTGAGAGAGACAGAGAGAGTGTGAGCAAAGAAGGGCAGAGAAAGAGGGAGAATCTCCAGCAGACTCCCTGCTATCAGTGCAGAGCCCATGTGGGGCTCAGGCTCACAAAACTGAGATAATGACCTGAGCCGAAATCAAGAGTTGGACGCTTAACCGACTGAGCCATCCAGATGCCCCTATTTTTGGAGTTTTTAAATTACAATGTCAATTTCCTCAAAAGTTATAGGACTATTCATATCTTGGCTATTGTAAATAATGCTGCAATAAACATATGGGTGTATATATCTTTTTGAATTACTGTTTTTGTTTTCTTTGGGTAAAGACCCAGTAATGGAATTACTAGATAATATGTCAATTCTATTTTTAATTTTGCCATTTGCAGCAACATGTATGGACCTAGAGGGTATTATGCTGAGTAAAATAAGTCAGAAAGAAAAGACAAATACCATATGATCTCACTCATATAAGGAATTTAAGAAACGAAACAAAGGGAAAGAAGACAAAACAACAAACACTTAAATACAAATAACTCGGTGGGTTAAGCACCTGACTCTTGAATTCGGCTCAGGTCACTATCTCATGGTTCCTGGGATTGAGCCCTACATCAGCTCTGCACTGACAGCTTGGAGCCTGCTTAGGATTCTCTCTCTCCCTCCCTCTCTTTATTCTCCTCCCCTGCTCACAGTCTCTCTCTCTCTCTCTCTCTCTCTCAAAATAAATAAAACTTAAAAAAAAATACAGAGAACTGGTAGTTGCCAGAGGGGAGGTGGGTGGAGGGATGGGTGAAATAAAAGGAATTAAGAGTACACTGATTAAATGTATAAAATTGTTGCATCATTATATTGTACATCTGAAACTAATATAACACCGCATATTAATTATACCTCAAAAAAAAAAAAAGAAAGAAAACGGTCTAGAGCTTTTCAAATGATTTCATATTGGGTGATTTGTGGTGGTTTGTGTTTTTTAAAAGATTGGGTTCATCTCATCTAAGTTGTCAAATTTATGTGTGTAGAGTTGTTTGTTGTATTCTCATTATGCTGTTGACATCTGCAGCATCTACAGTGATATTTCTTGTTTCATTCCTGTATTGGCACTTTGCATTTTCTCTCTCTTTTTCTTTGTCAGTCTTGCTAGATATTTGTCAATTTTATTGATATTTTCAAAGAATTAGCTTTTTTCCAATGATTAAAAAAATTTTTGTCTGTTTTCAATTTCACTAATTTCTGTTCTTATCTTTCTGATTTCCTTCTTTATGCTTGCTTTGAATTAATTTTGATCTTATTTTTCTAAGATCTTGAGGTAGGAGCTTAGATGATGGATTTAAGACTTTCCTCTTTTCTAATGTAACCATTAATGCTACACATTTCCCTCTTGGCATGGCTTTAGCTACAAAACCACAAATTTTAATATACTATTTTTTTTTAATTTTAATTCAGTTCCATATATATATTTTAATGTTTATTTATTTTTGAGACAGTGTGAGCGGGGGAAGGGCAGAGAGAGAGGGAGACAGAGGATCCGAAGCAGACTCTGTGCTGACAGCAGTGTGCCAGATGCGGGGCTTAAATGAGGAACCGTGAGCTCATGACTTGAGCTGAAGTCAGACACTCAACCAACTGAGCCACCCAGGTGCCCAGTTCCATATATTTTTTACATTCCCTTGAAATTTTCTTTTTTGACCCATAGATCATGTGGAAGTATATTGTTTAGTTTCCAAATTGTTGGAGATTTTTTGTCGTTATGTTTCTGTTTTTATTTCTAGCTTGATTCCATTTTCATCAGGTACCTTCTGAATGATCCCAACTCTTGTCAATTTGTTAAGATTCATTTTATGGTCCAGGATGATCTCTCTTGGTATATGTTCCATGGACACTTGAGAAGAATGTGTATTCTGCTTTGTGGAGTGTTCTATAAATGTTGGTTAGATTCTGTTTGCTTGGGTTTCTGTTTACTTGTTTTATCAATTGTTGAGAGAGGGGTGTTGAAGTCTCCAAGCAGATTATGAATTTTCCTGTTCTCTGCTCATTTTTGTCTGATTTTGCTTTATGCATTTTGCAGCCCTGTTGTTTGGTCCTTACACATTTAGGATTGCCATGTTTTAGTAGATTAACAATGTCATTTTGTAATGTGCCACTTTTGTCTGGTAATTTTCTTTGCTTTCAAATCTAATTTATCTGATATTAATATAGATACTTCCGTTTTCTTCAGATTAATATTTGTAAGGCACATCTTTTCCACCCTTTTATTTTCAACCTCCCTATACTGTTATATAGAAGGCCAATTTCTTGTAGATAGCACATAGTTGGCGATAGGGACTGAATGTATGTGTCCCCTCCCAAATTCATATGTTGAAATCCTAATCCCAATGTGATGGTATTTGGAGGTGGGGCCTTTAGGAGGTAATTAGGTCATGAGGGTGGAGCCCTCATGAATTTGATTAGTATCCTTAGGAGAAGAAGCCAGAGAGTGAGCTGACTCTGTTTCCACCATGTGGAAATATAAACAGTCAGCTGTCCACAACTCAGAAGAGGGGCTTCACTAGAACAGGACCATGCTGGCACCTGATCTGGACTTCCTACCTCCAGAACTGTGAGGAATACATTTCTATTGTCTAAGCTGCCAGGTTTATGGCATTTTGTTATAGTAACCTGAAATAAGATAGTTGGGTCATTTTAAAAAATCTACTCGGTCTTTTAAATGGTGCTGTGGACCATTTATGTTATTATTGATGTGTGAGGGCTTAAGTTTTTGTTTTCTTTGCTCTCTCTGGGTTTTGTTTCTCTGTTCTCCTTTTCCTGCCCTCCTGTGGGTTACTTGAACAAATTTTTCATTTGTATTTCTCTATAATTTTTTTTTTAATTTTTTTTTTCAACATTTATTTTTGGGACAGAGAGAGACAGAGCATGAACGGGCGAGGGGCAGAGAGAGAGGGAGACACAGAATCGGAAACAGGCTCCAGGCTCTGAGCCATCAGCCCAGAGCCTGACGCGGGGCTCGAACTCACGGACCGCGAGATCGTGACCTGGCTGAAGTCGGACGCTTAACCGACTGTGCCACCCAGGCACCCCTATAATTTTTTTTAAGTGTATCTCTTAGTATAGCTTTGTTAGTGGTTGCTCTAGTTATATTATATATACATAACTTATCACAGTTTACTGGTGTCATCATTTTATCAGTTCAAACAAAGTGTAAAAACTTTACCTCCCTTTCTGTTCCTTTACCCTCCTTTATTTATTATATAATTTATAATTGTCTTAAATGAGCCACATCAGAGCATGTTATAAATTGTGTTTCAAATATCAAACATAATTTAGAAAACCCAAGAGGAGAAGCAAAGTCCGTGCTATTGACCCACAATTCTGCATACTGTGTTCTTTCTTCCTGATGTTCCAGAATTCCTGCTTTTATTCTTTTCCGTTTAGAGAACTTTTCTTAGCCATTCTTGTAGGATAGGTCTAATGGCAAAAAGATATCTCAGCATTCCTTCATCTTCAAGTGTCTTGACTTCCCCTTTTATTTTTGCTGGAACTAGGATTCTATATCAATGGTTCTTTGCCTGGAGCACTTGAAAACTGTTGTATCACCTCCTTTGGCCCCAGGGTTTCTGATGAGAAATCTGCTGTCATTTAAGCTGTTTTTCCCCTATTAAGGTGCTATTTCTCTATCCTTGGTTGCAAGATTTTTTCTTTGTCTTTAGTTTTCAGAAGTTGACTGTGTTGTATTGATACAAATTTCTTTGGGTTCATCCTGTTTGTGGTTTGGTCAACTTTTGAATCTGTAGGTTTATGTCTTTTGCCAAATTTGGGGAGCTTTCACTCCTTATTTCTCCATGTACTTTCTCAGCTCCACTCCCCTTTATCTCTCCTTCTAGAACTCTGATGACACAAATGTCAACTCTTTTGTTATAGTCCCCAAAGTCCTTGAGGCTGTTCATTTTTTTTTTTTTTTTAGGACAATTGTTCAGACTGGGTGATTTTCATTGTTTTATCCTCAAGTTTATTGGTTCTTTTGTCTGTCCCCTCCCTTCTGTTGAGTGGTTTGTTGTTGCTGCTGTTATTGTACCTTTGGGTTCTAAAATTTCTACTTTGTTTTCCTTGCTATTTTTACTAAGACTTTATTGAGACTTTCTATTTTTTTTTTTTTAGCTGAGACCTTCTCCTTCATTTCTTTCTTTCTTCCCCCCGCCCCCCCCCCATTTGTTTCAAGAAGGTTTGTTGCTTGTTTAGGTGGGTTGTTTTTTTTTTATGATGGCTCCTTTAAAATCTTTGTCAGCTAATTCTAACATCTCTGTCATTTTGTGTTGGCATCTATTGATTGTTTTGTTTTTTTTCTTTTCAGTTTGAGATCTTCCTGGATCTTGGTATGATAATTTTTTATTGAAACCTGGACATTGTTGGTATTATAAGACTCTGGATCTTATTTATCCTTTTAGCTACTTTTTTCTGACTCTACTCTGGCAGGGGGAGAGGAGATGCTGCCTTATACTGCCAGATGTGGGTGGGAGATGGTGCTCTCCCTTACAACTGAGTGGGGATGGGAGCTTGGCATCCCACAAGCCTCCACTGGTCCCTCCCTGGCCAGGAGGGTAGGAGTACCTCACTACTGCTCTTCAGGTTGACTCCACTGACACTATGGATAAAGGGTCTCATTACTGACCGGGGGTGATGAAAGTCCCAGCTCCCTATGTGGCCTTCTCTGATACCACCCTCGTGGAGGGGTTAGGGTGCCTTGTCATAACCTGGCAAGGATGGAAACCTAGGCTCCCCACTGGGTCTTTGCTGCTGGGGGTGTGCAGCCTCAGTTTTTTCCTGTAGCATTTGGCTAGAATAGAGCAGTTATAGTCTAAAAGCTTTCTGTCGGGCGCCTGGGTGGCGCAGTCGGTTAAGCGTCCGACTTCAGCCAGGTCACGATCTCGCGGTCTGTGAGTTCGAGCCCCGCATCGGGCTCTGGGCTGATGGCTCAGAGCCTGGAGCCTGCTTCCCATTCTGTGTCTCCCTCTCTCTCTGCCCCTTCCCCGTTCATGCTCTGTCTCTCTCTGTCCCCAAAATAAATAAACATTGAAAAAAAAATTAAAAAAAAAATAAATAAAAGCTTTCTGTCTTGCAAGGCTCCCCTTTCCTGATCCTTCAGCTGGAAAGAGCAGTCTTTTCTTTGGGCTTTTTGAAATCTGTGCCCATTGGTGTTTCCAGGTTGCCAGCTGCATCAGCTTCAAGTGTGGGGCATATGAAGCAAAAAGAAAACTCACTGAACTCACCACTATGTCATTCTTAGGGTCTAAACATCCCTCCCTGGTGACTTCTTCCACATTTCAGAATCTTTTTTGTTTTGTGTATAATGTCCAGAGTTTCTAGTTATTCTTAGTGGAAGTGCTAGGGGAATGTATGTCTAGTCAATCTTCCCAGAAGCAAACTAGGAAAAAAGTGAGAATGTATATGGTTGTGTGAGTGTGTGTGTGTGTGTGTGTGTGTGTGTGTGTGTGTGTGTGTATGTGTGTTTGGGAACATTGAGATATAGGCATGTTGTGGGGAGCCTGGGTGACTCAGTGGGTTAAGCATCCAACTTTGGCTCAGGTCATGATCTCATGGTTTGTGAGTTCAAGCCCCACATTGGGCTCTGTGCTGCCAGCACGGAGCCTGCTTGGGATTCTCTCTCTCTCCCTCTCTCTCTCTCTCTCTCTCTCTCTCTGCCCCTCCCCACTCGTGCTTTTTCTCTCTCTCTCTCAAAATAAATAAACTTAAAAAAGATATAGGCACATCATGGCTGTCAGCCTTTTGGTTACACTGTACTGGAAGTGTAGACACAAAACAAAATAAGGCACAAACCCAGCCCTGGGAAGTTCACCCTGGAGAGAGAAAGCAGGCAGGTAGGTAAATAGTGCAATTATACTTATTTTACCTGTTAATGCTTGTTGTGCTACACTTGGTCAGATGCTCCTGGAGCCCAGCTTCGTGGAGGAGGAGAGGAGTCCACTGGAGTTCCCAACGCATCCCCAGAAAAGGCCCTTTTTTAGCACGTCAAGGTGAGGACATCAAGACAGTAGGAATGGACAGCAGAAGAGAGTAGCTATAGCTTGGTGGTTTAGAGCGTCACTTCTTAAACTTTGCTGTACACAAGAATCACCTGGGTCTCTTGTTAAAAATGTGGGCTTAATTCAGTAGGTCTGAGCTGGAGCTCAAGGTTCTGTAGGTCCAACAAGCTCCCAGGTGATGCCCATGATGCGGCTAGTCTGTGGACCACACTCTGAGTAGCAAGAGTAGGGTATGGACTTTGGAGTGAGACAGTGTTCAAATCCCAGCTCAGGGACCAACTAGATGGGAAAGTCACTTGACCACCCTTAGTTTCTACATTTGTAAAACGAAGACAATAGTAGTTCCTGCCTCCCCACCCCCACCCCCACCGGGCAGGGTATAGAGAGGACAGAAGAGGCCATGTATGAACAATGCCCGGCACACAGTCAGCACCCGGTGGGGTCATGCCTCTGCCTTTCTCCAGCTGCTCCCTGGCCCTGATCACTGACTGCACGTGGCTGCAAGGACCGTATGGGCCTGGTGATGGCACATGCAGGGTTAATGCTCCTGCTCTTGCCCAGAGACAAATGTTTTGTGTTGAGAAGTTGCTGCTGGGAAGGAAAAGGAGGGGGAAGAAGGCCCCTTTTTTATTATTCTGAGGTGCATTTTAATTTGCACAAGCGACGTTGTGTCTGTGATGGATGACACAGAGGGAAAAATTACAGCCCAGGAAGCCCAGCAAAGGGGGAAAAAAATAAAAGAGATCTAGCAAGGATTAAAAACAGCCCATTGTGATGCTGCATCCTGGTCAGGCGCTGGGGGCGGGGAGGCTGGGGAGGCTGGGAAGGGGATGCCTGGGAAGGAAGGGGCCCCGCAGAGCCAGTCTTAGCCAGTCTTTGGCAAACACAATTTGTGGGAAGTTTGCTCTTGGATCTGGCTTCCTCTTTCTGCATTTGATTCTCTCCTCCATGGCATCACCACCATCTCTGGGTCATCTCACTGGGAACCTTTTGGGGAACTCCTGTGATCTCTTCTCCCATTAACAAAACTCAGGAAGCTTGGAGCTCCCACTCTCCTGGGGCTTCCTACGTGATAGCAATCACACAAGGCAGAATCAGAGCAGCTGAGTTCGGGATCTGAATGAGGAAGCTCATGTCCTGATTGCTCATGAGCAGACCACTGAAGCCCTCCAAGGGCATTGCAGACACTCTTTTCTTTGGCTACTGGTTAGCCGTGGGTTCTGGCACTGGATGTACAGACCTGGGTTTGCAGCCCGGCTTTTCTACTTAATAGCTGTGTGACCTTGGGCAAGTTATTTAACTTCTCTGTGTTTCCGTTCCTGTACCTCTGGAATGGGGATAAGACAGTACCCACCTCATGAGGGCTATTGTAAAGACCAAGTAAAATAGTGAGATTCTTCTGCCCTGAAAGAAAACAGGCCAGGCAAGATTCGGGAGGATGGGTAGAGGTAGGAAGGGTGATGACCCCCCCAATATAACTGGCTGTCCCCAGTGGGGATAGGCGACCTCCATGCTCATCTTCAAGACTCTCAGGGAAGGACGCTTCAAAGCACACCTGACAGATCACTAACCTAAGTCCTGTCGTCAGCTCAGGGCAGTTTCCTCTTGAGGAATTCTTGGAGGTGGGGGGCAGGGGTCGCTGGCTGTTGTCTTCTGTCCCAGGAGCCCAGCTGAACTAAAGGAGTCTGCCCACACTCTCCCCTTTGGGGAGTGACATGTAAGCAAGTCTAAAACTTCTCTATGCAGGACACTCACTCCCCAGCCTGGCATCTCTCACCCACAGCTGGGTAGGAGAACCGTGGTGACATGGTGAGTCCGCTCACCAAGTGTTGATGGCACAGGAATAAAGACAAGACGAGTCTTAAGTGGCCTCTCCTCTAGAGCGTTTGTTAATCATCCAGATAGCTAACATTTATGGAATACTTCCTGTGTGCCAGTTTTAAGCACTTTATTCATATTCATTGAATTCTCAAAACAATCCGAGAGCTAGGTACCGTTACCGTCTGCCTTTTACAGATGAGGAAACAAAGGCGCGAGGGAGGCTAAGAATCTTGCCCAAGATCATAAAACTTGGGAGCCCAGAGCCAGGACTCATCCTCAGAGAGCCTGGCCTCGGATGCGGCTGTCCTCTGAACGTTGACATTGGAGAACTGAGTTGAGCTAACTTGGTGGTTGGAGAACTGAGTTGAGCTAACTGGGTGGTTGGAGAACTAAGTTGAGCTAACTGGGTGGTTTGATCTAGGGTAGGCACAGCATGCCAGCATGAGTGCCCGGAGGTGCACCTGTTACCCAGAAAGATCCCGTCTTCTGGGACATGTGGGAACTTTGCCTTGTGTGTATAGAAGTGGACACAGAGAGGCAAAAATGCTCGACCAGGTGACTGCAAAATCAATAACTGGATGGTTTTAGAGACTCTGTGAGACATATGTTCTCCTGTTTTCCTCATGACTGGGTGGCCATTATTACTAACAGTGTTCTGTTAGTAATAGGGGCTCCTGGGGGCCCCAAGCTTTCCTCCCACCCTGCCCCTTACCATTCTGATGGCAGCCCTGGGTGGGGTCTGGATTTAGGCTTAGGCCACGGGAAAAGTCTTGAAGGAATGCGCCCTGAGTTGGAGGGATCAAGTCCCATCGCCAGGCACTTTTTTTGCCAGTTTCTTTTGTCACACGTGGGACAGCAACAGGGGAATCTCGCTGCAGTCAGGTAAGTCGGGTTAGAGTCTGGCTCTGCTGTGTGACCACTTTGAGCCTCAGTTTTCTCTTCTTTAAAGTGAGATGATACTTATTCATCCATCCTGCCTTACAGATTATTGATTAAAAGATCCAAAGTTGGTAATGACTCTTATATGTGATTAGTCATCAAGGATGACTGACTCTCTGTGGGGCGCCAAAGCCAGGTAAGGTGCCTCTTCCCAAGGATCTCTACCCTGGGAACA